GGTTAGGGAGGTGGGGACGAGCTGGGCTGGTTTTGGGATGCGGGTGGGGGAGGGGACATTTTGAAGCTTGTGAAGTCCACATTGATACCATTGGGCTGCAGGGTTCCCAAGCAGAATATGAGTTGCTTTTCCTGCAACCTTCGGGTAGCATCGTTGTGGCACTGCAGGAGGCCTAGGATGGACATGTCATCTGCGGAATGGGAGGGAGAGTTGAAATGGTTCCCGACTGGGAGGCGCAGTTGTTTAGTGCGAACCGAGCGTCGGTGTTCTGCAAAGCTATCCTGAAGCCTCCATTTGGTTTCCCCGATGTAGAGGAGGCCACATCAGGAACAGTGACTGCAGTAGCAGATGTGCAGGTGAACATCTGCTTGATGTGGAAAGTCTTCTTGGGGCCTGGGATTTGGGTGAGGGGAGAGGTGTAGGGGCAGGTGTAGCACTTCCTGCGGTTGCAGGGAAAAGTGCCGGGTGAGATGGGGCTGGAGGGGAATGTGGAGCAGATAAGGGAGTCACGGAGAGAGTGATCCCTCCGGAAAGCAGATAAGGGTGGGGAGGGAAAAATGTCTTTGGTGGTGGGGTCGTATTGCAGATGGCGGAAGTGTCGGAGGATGATGCGTTGGATCCAGAGGTTGGTAGGGTGGTACGTGAGGATGAGGGGGATTCTGTTTTGGTTGTTATTGCAGGGAGCGGGTGTGAGGGATGAATTGCGGGAAATGCGGGAGACACGGTCGAGGGCGTTCTCAACCACTGAGGGGGGGATGTTGCGGTCCTTGAAAAACGAGGACATCTGAGATATACGGGAGTGGAATGCTTCATCCTGGGAGCAGATGCTGCGGAGGCGAAGGAATTGGGAATAGGGGATGGCATTTTTGCAGAAGGTGGGTGGGAGGAGGTGTATTCTAGGTAGCTGTGGGAGTCGGTGGGCTTGAAATGGATATCGTTTTCTAGGTGGTTGCCGGAGATGGAGACAGAGAGGTTCAGGAAGGAGAGAGAGGTATTAGAGATGGTCCAGGTGAACTTAAGGTTGGGTTGGAAGGTGTTGGTGAAGTGGATGAACTGTTTGAGCTCCTCATGGGTGCACGAGGCAGCGCCAATACAGTCATCAATGTAATGGAGGAAGAGGTGGGGTTTAGGGCCAGTGTAGGTACAGAAGAGGGATTGTTCCACGTAACCTACAAAGAGGCAGGCATAGCTTGGGCCCATGCGGGTACTTATGGCCACCCCCTTTGTCTGTAGGAAGTGGGAGGAATTGAAAGAGAAGTTGTTGAGGGTGAGGACGAGTTCGGCTAAGCGGATGAGGGTGTCAGTGTGGGGGGACTGGTCATGCCTGCGGGACAGGAAGAAGCGGAGGGTCTTTAGGCCATCTGTATGGGGAATGCAGGTGTATAGGGACTGGACATCCTTGGTAAAGATGAGGTGTTGGGGACCGGGGAATTGGAAGTTCTGGAGGAGGTGGAGGACGTGGGTGGTGTCACGGATGTCGGTAGGGAGTTCCTGGACCAAGGGGGAGAAAATGGAGTCCAGATAGGTGGAGATAAGTTCGGCGGGGTTGGAGCAGGCAGAGACAATGGGTCAGGTTTGTCGATTTTGGGAAGGAGATAGAAGTGGGTGGTGCGGGGTTGGCGATCGATGAGGTTGGAGGCTGTGGGTGGGAGGTCACCTGAAGTGATGAGGTTGTGGATGGTTTGGGAGATGATGGTTTGGTGGTCGGGGGTGGGGTCATGATCAAGGGGGCGGTAGGAGGAGGTGTCGGAGAGATGGCGTCTGGCCTCGGCGATGTAGAGGCCAGTGTGCCATACTACAACTGCGCCTCCCTTGTCCGCGCGTTTTATGGTGAGGTTGGGATTGGAGCGGAGGGAGTGGAGGGCTGCACGTTCTGCGGGGGAGAGTTTGGAGTGGGTGAGAGGGGTGGAGAGGTTGAGGTGATTGATGCCATGACGGCAGTTGGAGATGAAGAGGTCGAGGGAGGGTAGGAGACCTTGGGGTGGTGTCCAGGAGGAGCGGGTGTGTTGGAGGTGGGAGAAGGGGTCAGTAGAGGGAGGGTTAGGCTCACGGTTGAAGAAGTAAGCGCAGAGGCAGAGGCAGCAGAAAAACTGCTCTATGTCCAAACGTGACCGGTATTCGTTGATGTGTGGGTGGAGGGGGACAAAGGTGAGCCCTTTACTGAGGACTGACCGTTCGTCCTTAGTTAGGGGGAGGTGTGGGGTATGGTGAAGACTCGGCAGGGCTCGGTGTTGCTGTCTCCTCTGGAGCTGCTGGCTGTGGAGGCGGTGGGCGGAGCGACGTCAGCGTCGGCTGTGGGCAGAGTTGCGTTGGCTGTGGTGGGCGGAGTTGCGTTGGCGTCGGTGGTGGGCGGAGCGGGGTAGGAGACGGCAGCAGCGGTGACGGTCGGTCCGTCCTCAGTGTCTATGGTGTTGGTCTCGGAAATGGAGGCGGTGTTGCAATATGACTGGCATTATCTTCCCTACAGCAGAGGAGGTTGGGGCAGGGCGAACATGATTGAGCTGTATAAAATGATGAGGGAGTGTAGATAGGATAGAGAGGAAAGAACGTTTCCCTCTTGATCGAGGGATCAATGCCAGGGCTGAGGAAGTCGATAGGTTGAAAATAAGGGGCAGCAGGTTGAGAGGGGAAGTGAGGAAAATCATTTTCACTCAGAGGGAACTCACTACCTCTAAGGGTGTGAGAAGTAAAAACCCTCATCACACTGAATGTCAAGATCAGATGTTTGGATTCCCTCTCAATGGTAAACTCAAGGATGTTGAAATTGGGGAGATTCAGTGATGGTAACACCATTGAATGTGAAGAGGATGATGGTTACAATCTCTCTCAATGTTAATCATTTGAATATTGATAGTCATGGGCTCAGCCCATGTGTTGTTGTAATACATCTCAACTCTCCCTGAACAGGGGCCATCTCCATCCCTGAGTCGCACTGCAATCGGATCTGAAGGTAAGGAGCAGATACAGCATAAATAATGATCCTCCAGCGAAGCATTTATTTGTTTAAGTGTAACATGAAGTCAAGAGAATTGATTGATCAAGATATTCATCAAAGTGATAAAAACAATGGATTTGGTACTTCAAATAAACATTTCAATCAAAGGAGGCCATCTTATTCCCAAATACAGGCCTGCTCCCCTTAAATCAATAGGACAGTACAACACAGTAACAGGCTCAAAAACACCAGTTGCTGGAAAGTCTCAACAGGTCTGGCAGCATCTGTGAAGAAAAAGTCAGAATTAATGTTTTGGGTCTGGTGACCCAACCTCAGAAACTGATCAGGCCCTTCGGCTCACTATGCCCGTGCTGACCATAATGCCATTCTACACTCAACCCATCTTCCTGTACACCATCTGTATCTAGCTATTGCCTGTCTGTTTATATATATCTGTCTAAACATCTCGTAAAGTTTGTTGTCATATCACTGGCGTTGTTTTCCTTATAGCAGAAGAGATTGAGCCATGTGGGAACATGATTGAGACATGTAAAATGATGAAGGGACATAGATAGGGTGAACAGGAAGACATGTTTCCACCTTGACAGAGGCCTCAATGTCAAGGGTTATGGGGAAGTGCATTAGAATGAAGGTAAAGTGCAGGAGGTTTAGAGGGGAGGTGAGAAAAATCTTATCCACCCAAAGGGTGTTATGGAATCAGGAACTCACTGCCTGTAAGGGTGGGTGAGGCATAAAACATCATCACATTGAACGTCAAGAGGCATTGTTTCAATTCTCTCTTGATTGTAGACCCCAAGAAGTGGATAGTAGGGGGATTCAGTGATGGGTAACAGCATTAAATGTGAAGAGGGCAATGGCTAGAATCTCTCTCAATGGTAATCATCAGGATATTAATAGTCACAAATTTGGTGATGGCAGCACTATTGAATGTCAAGGTGGCGATTGCTAGATTCTCTCTCAACGATAACCCACAAGATTGTGACATTGGGGAATTCAGAAATAGTAATGCCATTGAATGTCAAGGGGGCAATGATTAGATTCTTTTTCAATGGCAACCCCTGGAAGTTGACACTGGTGGATTACGTTATTGTAATGCCACTGAATATCAATGGGAGATGGTTAGATTCTGTCTCAATGGTAACATACAGGATGTTGATAGTTTGGGGATTCACTGAGGGCAACACCATTGAATGTCAAGGGTCGATGTTAGAATCTCTCGCAATGGCAACCATAAAGATATTGATATTGTAGAACTCTGTGATGGTGACACTACTGAATGTCAATGTGGCGATTGCTAGATTCTCTCTCAATGGGAACCCCCAGGTTTATGACTTTCGGGAATTTAGTAATGGTAACACCATTGAATTCCAATGGGTGATGGTTAGATTCTCTCTCAATGGCAACCCCTAGGATGTCATTAGTCGGGGACAGTAACACCAGTGACTGACAAGGGGCAATGGTTGCATCGTCTCTTACTGGACATCGTCATTGCCTGGCATTTGTCTATTGTGACTCTTACTTGTCACTGCTCAGCCCAAGCATGGCTATTATCCAGGTCCTGCTACATGTGGACATGGACTGCTTCAGTCTCTTCCACAAATGGCAGTAGACGCTGGATCAGTTGTTAGTTTTAAATCTGAGGTAGATCAATGTTTGTTCAGCAACGATAATAAGGGGATGGGGGCTAAGGGCAGGTATATGGAATTAAGTCTCAGGTCACTCATGATCTCATTGAATGGCGGAACAGGCTCGAGGGGCTGAATGGCCCACTCCTGTTCCTGTATGTAGTGACTGTGTAGCACTGACAGTCTAGGATCCACAAGCTGCAAGAGGTAAATCATGCTTCACACTTCCTTCCAACACAACAGCTGAATCAATATTGTCCATCATCCAATTGCTAATTGTAAATTAGCGCATTCTTGATCTACTTATCATAAATAGATTCTTAGAAAGTCACACTTTATACACAACAATGGAGCAAAATAAGCATCCATTCCAATTAATCCTTTGCTCACATGCATTCGAAAACAAAAGCTGTTCTTACCTGTTGAAGCTTGGCACCTCATTACCGTCAAATGAACTGTAAGACGAAGAGAAAAGAATTTGATCATCACATGAGCCGTTGTATTCCTTTTGTATTTCACTGCCTCCCTATAGGGTGAGCAATGCAGTACTGGAAAGATTATATAAGTTGTAAAATAAAAAGACTTCTCAATATTCTCTAAGTTTCAATCAGATTCCCCCTCATCCTTCTAATTTCCATGGAGTACAGACTCAGAGTCCTCAACCTCTCCTCATATGACAAGTTCTTCATCTCCAGTATCTTTCTTGTAAACCCCCTCTGGACCCCCTCCAAGACCAGCACATCCTTCCTCAGATACAGGGCCCAAAACTGCTCATAGTATTCCAAATGTGGTCTGACCAGAGCCTTATACAGCCTCAGCAGGACATTTCTGCTCTCATATTCTAACCTTCTCAAAATGAATGCTAACGTTGCATTTGCCTTCCTAACCGCCATCTGAACCTACCTGTTAACCTGAGGAGAATCCTGCACTCAGACTCCCAACTCCCTTTGTGCTTCAGATTTCTGAAGCCTTTCCCAGTTTGGAAAATAGTCTAAGCCTCTACTCTTCCTACTAAAGGCATTGAGCACTTACTTCCTTGCACAGATGGGAATCTTTTCATCTTTGAACAGCTCCAAATTTAATGAATCACTGAATCATCAGTAATCAGGTTACAAATGAGTATAAATGGGTAAATAAAATGAGTTTGCTAGGCCACACTGCTAAAGTACTGTGTGCAGCTCTGGAATCCACCTTCTAGGAGGGATGTCATAGCAATGGGTGAGGGGGAAGAGCGAAATTTACCAGGACGTTGCCTTGGGTCCTGGAGAATTTTCAGTGATGAAGAGAGATTGGGCAGATAGGGGTTGTTTCCCTTAGAGCAGAGCAGATTGAGAGAGGGGGGCACACGATTGAGATGTATAAAATGATAGGGGCGTAGATAGGATAGACAAGAAGAAACATTTCCCCCTTGATGGAGGGATCAGTTATCAGGAGTCATAGATTGAAAGTAAGGAGCAGGAAGTTTTGAGGGGATGTGAGGAAAAGCTTTTTTCATCCAGAAGGTGGTGGCAAACCTGGAATTCACTGCCTGTGAGGGTGGAAGAGGCAGAAACCCTCATCACATTGAAGAAGGATTTAGACATGCACTTGTGATGCCAAGCTATGGGTCAATTGCAGGGAAATGGGTTCAGAGAATAGTGAGGTGGTTGTTTTTGACTAGCACAGACATGGTGGGCTGAAGGGCCTTTTTCTGTGCTATAGACCTCTCTGACTCTAAATTTAAAGAATTACGTACTTGAATTTATGAAAAGCACACCATCCAGTAATGACCAGAATGCCATTTTGATGCGATGTTGTTACAGAATACTGGATATTTTCAAGGGCTTCCTTTCTTTATGTGTCCAGCGTAGCTTACGTTGACAACCTCTGTGGAATTAAACAAAAAGCACAAGATAATTCTCAGATATAGTAGGAACTGCCCATGCAGGAGTCTGAGATAACCAGGTGTGGAGCTGGAGGAACACAGCAGGCCAGGCAGCATCAGAGGAGCAGGAAAGCTGATATTTCGGGTCTGGACCCTTTTTCATAGGGTCCAGACCCGAAACTTCAGCTTTCCTGCTCCACAAAATAATCCTAGCCTGAGAGGCAGGGCAAAATTCAGAGGCTGCTTAGCTCAGTTGGTTGGATAGCCAGTGCGAGATGTAGACTGATGCCAACAGTGAGGGCCCATCTCCATGGTTACCATGAAGATCTCTCCTTCTCTACCGCTCCCCTCGCCTGACCCTCAGGTTAACCCACCATCAGTCACCTCTCTCTTAATGGGAGAGCAGCCCAATTGTCTGAAGGACTTTATCCTCAAAGTATGAAATGCAGTGAGCAGATTTCAATTTGATTCAACACCATAGGTCACATTCTAAGGGTCCAGGTCCAAAATCTGCCCATGGCAGATGGTGGAATTCAAATTCAATCAATAATAACCTGGAATTAGGAGTGAAATAAGAAATCAAAATCTCATCAAAAGCTTTTTCTTCTGCTTTTTTTTAAATCATCCTGTGTATGGTGTTCTAGGTAACATCCATGCTTTACAGTGATTGCATAGTTCACAATTGGTCCAATCTGGTAACAATTCAGCAAAATGCTTTCAGGGTTTTTTTAAATTTAAAAATGACATTAGACTTTGCAGCACAATGTGGGCTTGCCTCAATTTTCTCAGGCTGTGTGGTGGCTCGAATTTTGCTCAAATCCTAATGTGCACTGTGAGCATTCTGTACTTTAAATAATCTTGTAACTAAGGTATATTTTCTTCTTGTCTATGTTGAGCATGCAAAAACATGTTTTGAAACAATTAAAACAGGATTTAACTTGTAAACAAAGAAAATTAAGAGTCTAATGATGACCACGAATCCATTGTCAATTGTTATAAAAATCCATCTGGATCACAAATGTCCTTTTAGGAAAGGACATTACCTTCCCTTACCTGGACTGGACTACATGTGACTCCAATCCCCACAACAATGAGATTGACTCTTAAATGTCCCCCCAGGCATTTAGGGATGGGTAATAAATCCTGATACAGCCAGCAAAGCCCACATCCCACGAACCAACAATTTAAAAAATTATTGGCGATGTATCGAACAGACCAATCCTGGAATCGAGAGTGAAGGTGCTGGATGCCTGGATAAGGATCTGATATTGCCCTATTTATAATGTCAACCAAATGTTTTTGGGTCAAAGAATTTACCAATTGCATTCTTGATCAATTGGGGTATTAAGAGTGATAAGCGAGAAGGGCTGGAAAATAGACATGAGGAATGTCGGATCAACCATGATCCTATTGAATGCTAGGGCAAACTAGAGGAGTTGAACGGCCTACTCCTGTTCTCCATTTGGTACTGTCTCATGGTGTTTCCAGAATGAGTTGGTAACAATGTACAGGATGATCTCTGGTGTGGAGGTACTGTCTTATGAGCAAAGGCTAAACAGGTTGGGATGTACTCACTGGAGTTCAGAATGAGAGGTGATGACATTGAAACATATTGAGCCCTGACAGGGTCAATGCTGAGAGGTTGTTTCCCCCTCATTGGAGTCTAGGACCAGAGGGCACAGTCTCAGAATAAAACAGATGCCAGATAATAAAACAGATGAGGAGGAATTTCTTTTCTCAGAGGGTTGAGAGTCTTTGGAACTCCTTGCATGGAGAGCTGTGTGTGGGGGCAGAGTCCTTGTGTATATTTAAAGCTGAGACAGGTGGATTCTTGATCAGCCAAGGAATGAAGATTTGCGGGGAAAGGGTAGGGAAGTGGACGTGAGGAATGTGGGATCAGCCTCGATCCTATTGAATGGTGGAGCAGTCTTGAGGAGCTGAATGGCCTACTCCTATGCTTACTTCTTAAGGTCTTAAATAGAGGTGAAACATATTTACTCTGTCAGATTTGGTTGGTTGGTTAATGGATGGATGAATGGATAGATAGACAAACAGACAGACAGAGAAACAGACAGATATATTTAAAAACTGAATGTCCACTTCCTTTAAGAATCCTAGTGTGGTACTTTAACACTATGTTTGAAATCTTACCGTTCAACTTCATGGTGTTAAATTCTACATTCTACAAATCACAGAATAATATAACAATTTATGTCAATATCGCCCTCTTTTGAATTATTGTTTCCACTGGAAAAACATCAATGTAGGTCCTGGAGTGCAGTGATTTTTTTTATTGAACTGATTCTGCACACCTCCCAGTTTAATCTATCCTTCAGACAATGTCTCGAACGGAGCTGATCAGGGCAGTCTGGCTGTGGATGAGAAAAGTTCTGAAGGATGAATAATTTGTGGAAAACAGAAATTGCTGGAGGTAATCAGCATGTCAGGCATGTCATGTGGAACAGGAAACAGAGTTAAAGTCTTGACTCTACCATGACTTTGAAGGTGCCTGCCCCTATACCTCTCCCCTCACTCCCATCCCAGGCCCCAAGAAGACTTTCCACATCAAGCAGATGTTCAC